GAAAACAATATTTTGAATTTTCAACTCTGTTTTAATATTGTAACATGTGGCATATGCATAATATATTTATATATTTTTGCTATTTTGACATAACCCATTTAAGTAGGTACTCACGTGGAAATTTGAACATTTTGAAAAATGCTGGCATATATAATCGGACTTTTATATAGACTTCAAAAAAGCTTACTTTTTTAGTTTTAATTTTATAAAAATATGTATTGTTCATTGTTACAAACATTGAAATATCTAAAAGAAGTTATCTATGTTTATTAGATTGTATACATTTCAAAAATACAATAATTTTTTACGAGTTTTAAAAATATTCTAAAAATATATCATAGGATAGTTTACCGAGCTTGTGTTAAAAATAATTTCTTTTTATCACAGCAATTATTTTATTTTATACAATAATTTTCCAGTATAACAATCCAGTATTTTGTTATTAGAGAATAAGRTAATGCTAACGCAGATCCCCCATATTTTTGCAGTTAAAATACTGACAAMAAAATATTTTGTAATGTGGATTCAGTTGAAGAACTTTATATATTACGTMATTTTTTCAACTTTATTCAGTCTGTAAGAAAAWTAATTGCACAGTGTACATTGTACACTAATAGTGGTCAGAAGTAGAGATGTTATAGTATTTAAATTAAATTAATATATAACCTTTCTATAGCTAATGGTGAAATTAGATTTAAATTTAGCCTTAATGGTAAAAATTATTACCTTTATTAAAATTATACCTGTTGAAATTTATCGAACCACATTTCGTTGGATACTTCTAAATGACTGAGCTTATTGAACATCACGTCTATTCTGGAATTTATCCTTTCTGTTTGTTGGTCCCGTCTTAATGTATTTGACAAATCTCTCAGTCTGAATTCTATATTTGAAATTAGAGCATAAACCTGGAACAAAGTGATTGAATTCATTATTCATAGAATGAGCTGCAGTGAGACCAGTGAGTGTTATAATGTATTTCAATCRTGTGACACGGATAGGACATATGTGTAGCAGTCGTTATATCAACCCAGAAAATTCCATGATTAAACTGTTAGTGTATAATATGAATAATGAATATCAATAATACAACCAATACAAAGTTAGCAGACGGTAACAGGAATCTAAGTTTATTGTAAACTTTAATATAGAATAAAGTATAAAAAAAATGTATGCATTATAATATCTCAATTCTCAAGGCGCTCAAATCATGCGCGGCTCATGTCAAACACTCACGCAGGTTGCGCTTTATCATAAGACGTAAAACGCTTTTCTTAACATAATGTTAG